ATTGTGAGATTCTGGGAAAACATGTAATCAAAAACTGTTTTAATGGTACCTCATTCTTATAAAGTAAGCCATATTGCAGATTCAAAATGGTGTTCTTCTATAGCATAAAAAATTAAAAAGGTGCTTTTAAAAATGTATGTGACTATCCAGTTGTAATTTGTATAGGTGGGCATTATTTCTCATCTCAGTAAATGAGATATAGGTAAATTGGCTGTCTTTAAATAATTACAGGTATATTCTTGTCCCAAGGCAGTTGGCCATTCAGTTGTCCTTCTGCAGTATTTTACAGGATTAAGTTGCTCAGTATCTGATCTTTCTCATAGCCCATCACCAATGGATCACCTCATAACCCTAACTCTTTAACTGCCTGACAAACATTAAAATACCTGGTGGTGTGTGCTAGCAATTGAGGAAGACAAGAGCACGTCTATAAATGATAGGTCTTATCATTTATACAGATAAAGACACGTGGCCAGTTCTGGTGTCACTTAACTGGACCACAACAGGTCTTTTTAGCACAGCGAAAGTTTGTAATTTACTTGGAGTCACTGTTCATTAAAGCTTTCAGTTTGTACACACAAATAGCTTCATTATATTATTTTTGTTGTTGCCGTTGTATGCCATAAAGTCTATTTTGACTCATAGAGACCCCATGTGACAGAGTAAAACTATCCTATAGGGTTTTCTTGGATGTAATCTTTACAAAAGCAGGTCACCAGCAGATAGATCCTGTAAAGCAGCTGTAAAGTAGGTTGAAACCGCCAACCTTTCAGGTCAAACACTGTCCGTATCACCAGGACTCACCTTCATCTATCTGTCTATCTATCTATCTATCTATCTATCTATCTATCTATCTATCTATCTATCTATCTATCTATCTATGTTGTTGGTAAGTGCCATAGAGCCAGTTCTGACTCATAGCAACCCTCTATATGGTTTCTGAAAAGTGACTGATATTTTTAAGTGCTGTCTAGTTGGTTCTACTTCATAGCAACCCTGTATTGGGTTTCCAAAAAGCAGTTGTGTGCATGTGCATGTGTGTATATATATATGTGTGTGTGTGTATGTGTAAATTAAGGCATACATTTTGATCAAGGATTATCTATCAGAACAACATGATTGAACTTAGCTATAATTAGCCTGGCCTCTTATTTCTTTTTCTTATTTTCTTTTTCCAGGGTTTTTACATCTCTTCAGACACTTTTTTTACGTGTCTGTTTTGTCTCAGCCTCCCCGAGCAGAATTTACTTGGCTAGTTCATTTCCTCCCTGTCTTAGCAGTACTCAAGTAGAAGTCAATTCTGCAATGTGATTTCTAGCTCCAGACCTCCAGATACTCCAAACATATAAACTCCATGGCTGACTCTAAATGAAGACATCTGAAGATATGACCATATGCTTGACTTCAAAAATGAAATACGGGTGTATTTACAGTTATTGCTCAAGTTATTGAATAATAAACCATCAATAGAAAGAATAAACTAAGTTTGTTGTGGGAAGTAAAAGTACTATTAAGTAAGAATGAATAAAAATCTGATGGGGTGGAAAAGAAATTGCCCTTGCAAATAGGACATCTGCTTTCACATTCTTCAGTCAGTTCTGCCACCACTTACCTACAGATATCTTATAGACTATTGTATACTGTACTTTGTTTTTATGTCAAAGTCAGAGAAAAATGAATGTCATGCTCTCTACAACACTCTGTATAATATGTGGGACTCCTGGCATAGCACTGTAAGATAAGCACTGGACTGCTAACCACAAGATTGGCTATTCAAACCCACCAACCACACCTTGGAAACATTACACAGGGTCTCTATGAGTCGGTAACGACTTGACGGCACTGAACAACAAGAATGGAATGTGTGTGTGTTTAAAGAGAAAGATTTGAGTAATTGCAAAATTGTGACTAATTAACCCAAGTGTTTTCCTTGAAATATTATCAGCAGATGACTCTTAATGAAAAACAAATATAAATGATAAGAGCAGAATGAGATAAGCACTCATAGCCTCATCCAAACAGAAATGCTGATCCAGCCTCTAGTAGCAGCAGCATGAAACTGTTCTAGGGCTATGGATTGAACCTGCCAGGTATTTATGTGTTTGTGGCAATGAGGCAACATGGACACCTGGGTGAGTCAGTCATTTGGATCTAGGGTTCTGTGTCAATGTTGCCAACTCTTTCCTCACTAAAAAGGGGTTATTGTATAACCAGTCTGCCTCCAAAGTTTCCTCTAGAACTTCTCAACTCTTTTCTTCTAAGACACAAAACAATCTAGCCAAGACAGCAAAGTCTCTTTTCTTCATTTTATGAGTGATACTATCCAGAGTTACTGGAACTCTTAGTTCTTCAGAGAAGAGGGGATGGGTGTCATTGCTTTTACGTTCTTTGTTAACATCAAGAAACCATGCCACATAATTTTTAATAATAAAAATCTGGACCAAGTTCAGTGTATAGTTCAAAAATATATTCCAATTAAACTATTTAATAGTCTTGGCTTTTCCTCTAGCCCCTACCATATGTATCCAATAATTCTAAGCTTGTTTCTCCCCAATACCCCAATAAAAAGGAAGGGGCACTGAAGGGATGGTGGCATCATGTTTCCAAATTTCCGTTTTCTCTTAAATCAGCCTTTCCAATATGTCAATACTAAGCCTTCCTATTAATCTATTTTCAGTAGCAGCCCTATGAAACTTGTAACACTACACACCTAAGTGACTCACACAAGTTCCCAGGCCTGCTCAACGGCCCCACATGCTAGTGAAATACAGGTTGTCATCCTCAATGATCAATCCATCATACCTATACACACATTTATATTAGGTGACCCTGCCAACTTGAATCACAGTGTCACCAAATGATAATCATTCATCATTCATTAGGTGTTTCCCAGGTGCCAGACCCTGTGATCGGTCTTGGGAATACAGCAGCAAGCACCATCATCACCATCGGTCCCTAGTCTCAGGAAATGGCAGTACCCCTGCCAACATTCTCAGACCAGTCTCCAGGATACAGAATCCTGCTTAGCTAGATCTTGGGAAGCCAATGAGAAAAGAAAGAGCAGATAAACAAAGAACCTGCTTCAGAAGCAAATAAAATCAAGTAAACACCTTCAAATGACACGCTTGTTTATAAAGCATGTTTATATGAATTGCCTTACAAAAATACTATCCCTCTTTGTTAGGTGAGGAAACTGAGACTCAGAGTGGAAGTGACTTACCCAAGGTCATAGAGAGAATTAGTGACTATCAAAGATGAGGGTGCAGATCTCCCAACTCCCAGTCTTCAACTCTAATAAATACTTCTGCCATGAGAACCTCAGAACAGTAGTAACACTAGAATATTTTCCAACCCTGCTTCTATCACAGTTTTAAAATGGGGTGGGGGGGGGCTCCCATTTCTCCTCCAGCAATAAAATACCCTGTGTCCTTCTCACCACTCCTTAGGTTTTCCATGTGCAGAGATATAAGAGAGATAAAGATGACGATGATGATGCTAACTAGCATGTACTGAGTGCTTGCTGTTTTTACATACATTATCTAATCTTCACAATAATTCTATTATACTCTCCCATTTTGCAGATTAAAAAACTCACTGTTGGAGAAGTTAAAAGAGTTGACCAAACTCACAAAGTTAGGAAGAAACAATGCTAAGACTAATCAAAGTTTTCTGACTCCAGACTCTACTCTTAATCACTATTGTTGTTGTTAAGTACCGTGGAGTCGGTTCCAACTCATAGCGACCCTGCACAGGGTTTTCGAGGCTGTAAATCTTTATGGGAGCAGAAAGCCTCATCTTTCTCCCATGGAAGGGCTGGTAGTTTCGAACTGCCAACCTTGAGGTTAACAGCCTGGTTCGTAACCACTACGCTACTCACTTTAAAACCTAAGAGATTTCACTCATTTAGGTTCCAACCTTAATTTTGTGTTCAAAGTACTAAAAGATCTCCTAAGATGATAATGCCATGCCATAAATTATCAAGTGCTAGAACTGCCTCCCAAATGGAAGAGCCAAAAATTCAAAACTTAGTTTTCTATTACTAGTGGCCATTTGATGGAATAGATGGTAATTGTGATCAGTTTCACGCTGAGGTAAAAGGATCTTGAGAAGGGAAACACGTAAAGTATCTGACACTTTGGGAAGCTACCCCCAGGTACCCAGGTGGATGGATGCTGTGCCTGGGAGACTCACGGACTGAATTAAGAAAATCAGCTTACAAAGTATCTCGTAGTCATGGCCACAAGTTTCCTAATCTGAACTACAACTGAAAGGAGATAGAAATTGGACTCTAAGTACATAGAACAGAGGTGGGGAGTCTACTTAGCCCAGCTAGTTGAGGGGAATATTGTTCCTAATAGAGTCAAAAAGGAGAGAGCACACACTGGAAAGTCCTGATGGGTTTACAATGACTTCCTCCTTAGTAGGAGTCCTAGAGCAATTTATACGCATTGTCTAGAGTGAAGTTCTTCCTCACCTATAAAACTAGAATACCAAAACTGATAAGACTACCATGCAGAATAAATGAAATTATTATGAAGATTTCTTCAATATCAAGGACTATATGAATTTGGAGTGATAGTAATAATAATTTCAGATCATCAAAATAGGAGTCCTAGTGTGGTACAAGAGAGTAAAGCCCTGGACCACATGGTTGGTTTGAACCACAAGATCAGACGTTCAAATTCACCAGCTGCTTCTTGGAAATCCTATATAGGGTCGTTTTGAATTGAAACCAACTTGATGGCATTTAACAACAACATCATAGTAGTAAACAGACATTATTGCTTTTAAGAAGAAAAATATTGCCAAGTGAAATGCTGCCTCTGGAACTGGCTTGTTTACACAAGTGGTGATGTTTTGGTTGTTTACAGAGCTACTAAGTTCTCTTGTTCCGGTAGAGTCCATGGTGTGGCGAGGGACCAGATATGCTATATTCAGTTCAGCGCCTACTCCCCTCTTCAGCCCCATCTTTAAGCAGAAACCCTGCCGCAGGGGTTTACCTTGCTGTTTTTGCATGGTGGTGAAATCCTCAAAGGTGAGTGTGCGTACAGGGGGTCTCCAAAATGCATACGTTTCCATGATAGCTTCTAGTCCAGTTCTGTAAAGAGAAAAGCCAGTGAAGGAAGTTGCAAATCATCCCAAGACATGCCCTGACTTTTAAAAATCTGAAGCTGGCTTGTCTGACAAGTGGTACATGAATTGGCACCGAGAGACACCACCACCAGGGTGAATGACTCTGAAAAAGCACAAAGTTCAGAACACACTGAATGGCAGGAGGAAGAGCAAATTAACCCAATTTGGATTCTATTCAAGCAAATCTATAACTATGATGAAATGTCACTCCAACCTTTCTTCAAAAGAGGGATGTTTGTCATGAAAAGCATGTCAAAGGTCACAACCACATTGGAGCAGAAAGTAGCATTGATTATATTTCTGGTGCAGGAAGATAGCATCCTCATTATTACAATGCACTCACACAGTTGGTCCCACAAACAACTCCACCCCTTGATTGTGTTAAGAGTCAATGAAACTGTCAAGCAGCTGTGGATTTAAAGGCTTCTTAAATCAACAGAGACCAGTAGGGCAACAAAAATAAAAGGAGAGGCATGTAATGACATACATTCACTTGAGTTTCTGCTTCAACAAGAAACACCATTTGAAGGCAAAGAAAGAGTTGGTCCCAGAAATTTTACCTCAGGTAAAAAGACTAAAATATTTCTCCAAATATTTATCTGTAGTTCTGTAAACTGAGAATCTCTGGTAGCATAGTGGTTTTGAGTTGGGCTGCTAATCTCACAGTTAGCAATTAGAAACTACCAACAGAATGATGAGGGTTTCTGCTCCCAAAACCAACTCCACAGCACATAGCAACCACCACCATCAGTTCTGTAAACTAGGAATCTATCTTATCTTTGAGTGTCATAATCTTGGGACTATCAGAGTTTAGGAAATGCCAAATATTTCACAAATAAATTCCTCTAAGGTTTCTGGTTCATTGTTATTGAAAACCTCAATGATTCGACTGTATGCTCAGAGTCTACTTGACCTTTCAATTGGTTCTCTCTCTGCCATATATTTAAAATGCTAATAAAAATCATCTTAACATAATTATGCAAGTAGTTCAGATATATTCTTACTTATATTCACATCCTTAAAAGTAAATATTGGCTGGGTTTTGTTTATATCTTTGAATATAGCTTCTGATTATTGACTTTTCTTTAAAACTAACTGCTTAACTTCTAGAGAAGTGTAGGCTGGGAAGGTGCAGGGACTATAGAGCAGGTAGGAGAAGAAGACTGGAGAGCAGCAGGTGGCATAAATTCTTCCAGCACAAAGACACTGGAAGGTACCATGGTGTCCCTTCCCAAAAAACAAACAAACAAAACGCAACAAGCTTTTCCTTTTTAAATGAAGCATATTGCCTGTCCTTCTCCCTAGATACTGAGTTTACACAGTTCCCTTCAATCCTGTGTATCAAGAATTAGTGAGAAGTATTCCATTTTAAGTGAGAACAAGTATCCTTTCTTTATAAATGACTATAGAATCCCTGAGATTCTTCTGGGATGAGCTGCTGATATACTGATTGGCTCTTTGTGTCAGAAAAGTTCTTCTTTGAATATGCCTTACTTGCACAGTTAAGTTTCTAAAGTCTTCCCTGGAATCTCAGAGGCTTTAAATACACCAATGTTGGCAAACCAAAGTCTGTATTTTAAGAAGAGGTTCATAGGAGAGAGTGTTGCATGGTGTTTATTAGCTGTTAATCTGTTAGAAGTAGGAATAGAAGACATCTCCACATAGTCACCCTACATTAATGCTGAATACAGTACATGGAACTATTTGTGGAGAGAATGGGCCCAGGCAATTAGAGTTCAAAATAATAAGGGATAGGCAGATAAAGCCATGCTGAGCCTGAGTGGATATAAGAAATAGATAGGCCAGGTTTAGATCTGACTGCTTTCTTTTGGAATGTTGGCTGCTCACCAGAATATTTTAGGATTCCCTTTAATGGCACAGGAGGCTCACTACAAATGGCAGGCCTTTATTGTTCCATGTCCCTTCTGTTCTTCTAAGGAACATGTATCAATGATGAGGATGAAATGTTAGCTCAAGTACAAAGAACAGTCCCTTCTTGTTTCATAATAAAGTGCTGGAAGTAGTAATAACACAGTGAATATGTATGCCAATATTTACTGGGAATATATAAAATGAAATTTGGTTTCATTTTTTTAATAGGTAAAAAGGCTGTGAGAAAGATGTTAATCATTTTAATCAGCCAATTCTTAAGCAGCCATCTAAAATGCAACTAAAAGACTGAATTCTAGGATCATAGATTAAACATAGGGGAGGATTTTGGGTGTCATCTACTTCTACCTCCTATGATAGATGGCTATCCAACCTCTGTTGGTGTATTTCCTAAAGAAAATATTGAGCTGTTTTGTTTTTGATCTATGTGTAAAATGTCCTTGCATAGGGTTTCCAAGGAGTGACTGGTGAGCTTGAGCCACCAACCTTGTGGTTCAAATCAACCTTGCAGTCCAGTGCTTATCCTACTGTCCTGTTCCAGGACTCCATGGGTGTCATTACCAGTGCATAAATGGGAATCATGTGCCAGACATTTCCTACAAGGAGTCCACTTGTCACCTTATCACCAGAGGAACCTCCCTTAGCTGTTGAGAACATGCCACACATGAATATACAACAGTCCATCCTATCCAGTCTATCACAACAAGGGTCATTTTTTGGGGGCAGGAGATGGGGACATGACTACCAAAAATAATGTCTAAGACCACACATTCCTTACTTCACCTTACTAATCCACTGTGGACCCATCCATTTCTATTCTAGACCGCTTACTGAACCTATGTATATATTCAGAATGTTTCTCTTTTTGGAAAAAGTAGTCACATTCTTTAAAAGAATACAATGCTCAAAAAAAAAAGTATTTACTAATCAAAATAAGTGATTTTTTTTGTTTGTTTCAAAAAGTCTTCAGGGAATTAAAGTTTATCTCAGGACAGCAGTTTCAGAGGCTCATCTAGCCTCAATGGCTTCAGAAAGTCTGGAGTCTATTGAGAATTTAAAATTCTGTTCCACATTGTTCATTTTTTCAAAATCTGGATTCTTGTATAGCATCTTTGGTCAAAGCATTCTTTCATGGTAGCTGGGCACCATCCAGTTCTGGTCTCATGGCTAAGGAGGCAATTGTTCATGGAGGCAAAGCAGACGCATATTCTGGTGATAGACATTAAGTATTGTACCTTGGATAGTCGCTTGCTAGTGACTAGGAGGTAGAGCAGAAGCACTGAGAAACAATATTAGGTTAACTGATTAGAAGAGATCCCTTCAAGCAATGTCCCTAGTCCTAATGTGGTGCTGCAGGATAAGAACTTGATGGCTAACCACACAGTTGGTGGTTCAAACCTACCAGCCACTCCTGAGAAGCCCTATATAGGGTTGCTAGAAGTCAGACCTGACTCCACAGCACATAACAACAACAATCCTCCAAACCAAGATAATAAATCCCATGAAGTAGTTGGCTGCAACTTAAAAGGTTGGATGGGACACTTGGGGGGCAGTGAGTTGAAGATAATGGTGGTGCTCAGGAAGGGACCACATTACAGTGTTTTGGATAGAGTGTCAGCAAAAACATAAACGTGTTTTTGTGGAGCAAAACACAAATTATTTATAAAAATAATTTTAAAAAAACAAGACCTGGCTTACTGGTCAGAAAGAGTCTGAAGAAACCAGAGACTAGGGCCTCACTACCCGTCACATCTGGAAAGGAACTCACCCTCGTGGCCCAATTTTCAGCCAAGCAGTAGGTAGTAGGTATATAAGGGGTGGGGGTGGGGGCAACGACACTAGCAAGGTATGCTCACTGTGGAAGGGTCAATCATTCAAAATCAAAAGGGCAACATTTGCCTAAGGACAAAGTTGAGAAGGGACAGGAAAGAGGGTGGAATGTAACTAGGAAGCACAGGGAGGAAGTGGGTAACTGTTGTTACATGGAGGGGATTGCAATCATTGAGATGAAGCAAAGTGTCTGATTTGTTGAATGTAAAACTTATGATCTTGTCTGTAAACCTTCACTCCATTCACAAAAAAAGAATTAAAAAAAAAAATAAAGATAATGGTGGTGAAATAATAAGGAAAAGGATAGCAAAAATTATAGCACAATTTGAAGAATGCAAGCAGTTACTTAATTTTACAAGTAGAAATTGTTGAAATGGTGCATCTTTGTCTGTACATACTTTTACGCAAAAAAAAATTCTATGTACATAGTAATTTTTTTCAGATAAACTCATTTAAATTTTAAATGTAAAAACACTAGCCCTATTTGTCTGTTTTATATCACAGTTTTCACTTGCCTGGTGTGGCGCTGTGGATTAATGTGCTGGACTACAAGGCCCGTTTGAAACACAAGGTCAGCAGTTCAAGCTCACCAGCCGCTCCTCAGAAACCCTATACAGGATCACTATGAGTCGGAACCAACTCAACGGCACTTAACAACAATAACAACAATTGTAAGGGCATAGAAAATAGTACACAATACACTTCCGTCTGCCACTAATATACAGTTCAAGGGCTTTGCATCCCATATTTTCTACGTCCCAGTCCCAGTACCTAGAACAATACTTGGCATATGACAGAATTACAATTGAATAGAGAAATTAATTTTCATTCTACCTTTTATTATTGAGTTATTATTTCATAAACTGTAACAAGCATTCCTTTTTCTAAGCTTGAGACTTTCAAAAAACAGCTTTGTGCAAATTCAAGACTCTGAAGATACAGTCCTCCAGTAGTAGATATCTGTAAATTGTTTCTATAACTGAGTATACTTTTCTTGACTTAAGTCTCAGGGAGGTTTCCATTTTCCTTTTATTTCTTCCATTCTGGCAATGGAACTTCTGACATTCAGCAGAATATGAGTTCTTTAGAATAGGCCAACAATTTCTCCCCCTCATTTTCTCTTACCAGGGTCTTTGCCAACTACATGTGAACATCTTCAACCACTTAGATGTCAATTCAAATTTTAGCCTGTACTACAATTGTTTACTTATTCATCATTTTATCCTACTTTTGTAAAATTTTATC